CGTGAGAGAAGGCACCCGTATATGCCACGAGGACCCAGGGGCCAGTCTGATAAAATTCAGCTCTACTACTCTTCCTTTGGCATTGTGTCCAATCCTGAAGCCGGACCCCCTCGATGTGTGGAGGAAGTATTGCAGCAGTCTGAGAGGAAGTTGCACTACATTGGTCCTGTGGGACTCGAAGATCAACAGATCAACAAGACCGAGCAGAGCTCTAAATGTTTAGACAGACAAGTGGAGGAAAAACTTTGGTTGGATTCCAATGTGCTAATTGTCTACAGCAAAAGGGCCTGTACGAGCTGGAAGATCAGTCAGAGTGTCAGTAAACCTGAGGGCAAATATTAGTGTGGAGTCTCTGACCATTAGGTAGCATTAATATTATTACATCAAATTTCTCAGCACATTTTATGCTATAATCTATTGAATATTACTGTTCACTTTTTTTTTCTTCCAGACTGAAAGTGAAAAAAGGGTTGTTGTCTCTGGAGGTCCATCCAGTCACAAACTCTGCCCTGTGGATGGTTAATGTAGAAAAGACAACGGGATCAAAACATGATGTTATTTCCATCATTAGCCACAGCACTGGTACCCATCCAGACAACACTGGGTAAGAGGAATAATTACTGACTCTAGAATTAATCACTACTAATCTATTATATATCAATATATTATAGTATAGAAAAACTACAATTCAAAAGTTTAGTTTGTTTGAAAGAAATAAATACTTTTATTTGGCAAATTTGCATTAAACTGATGCATTCAAATGACAGTAAAGACATTTATAATGTTACAAAAGGTTTCTTTTTCAAATAAATGCTGTTCTTATGAACGAAATATTCATAGAAATATTCATCAAAGGATCCTTAAAAAAATATTTTCCAGTTTTTTCCCCCCAAAATTTGTTTCCACAAAAATAGTAAGCAATGAGAAATGTTTTCAATATTGATAATAAGAAGAAATGTTTCTTGAGTACCAAATCTGCATATTAGAATGATTTCTGAAGAATCATGTGATTCTGCAGACTGGAGTAATAGATGCTGAAAATTCAGCTTTGCCATCACAGTAATAAATTACATTATAAAATGTATGTATAAACTAAATAAAATAAACACCTAGGATATCTGCCAGCCCACCCTTTTATAGCTGGCAAAAACCGGGCCTGCTGACAAACATTTATATTAAAATTACTGTAATATTGATGCTTGTGTCATGTATTTAAATATACTTGTACTTCATGCGCTGTAGTTTAGCTTTTTGTCAACACATTAAAATAAGTGTACTTGTTTAAAGCATGACATATGATATACATCACAAACCCGAGGGCTGCTAACTCTCACGCATTCAGTGTAAGAGTCACTCAGTTTGGGTTGCTACACCACACGTCCTTTTTCTCCCACAGTATTGCGGAGCAAAGGAGACAATGAGTCCACACATTGCAAAAGACAGAGCAGGCAGCACAGTACAGCAGCAAGTTATTCAGACCAGTCAGGTCTGTAATTTGTTGTAATTTATACTCATGCATGCTGAGTAGTCAGCCTCTCTCTCTCATCTTGTAATGTGTGAACACAGGCAGGCAGGTCAGTGAGTTACGGTTATGGTTACACTCTGTGTCTCCCCGACGTGTTTAGGTTAGTAACTAATATGCTGTGTAGCAATAAGTTAGCATTAGCAGTTATTTGTTTTGCAGCACTGCAGCAGTTATTGTACAGTTTTTCACTGTTTTCTGAGACAAGAAAAATGGACTCTTATCCCAATGTGGGCGACTAGCTCCAAGCTGAAGTTGGCAGCCCTGCTGAAAGCTAGTTCAAACAACAATCTGACATCCAAACATTTATTTTTGTCTTTGTCACTTTCCTTGTGTTACAGCACTTCTGCTCTAAGCCAGGTATCCTGTCTCTCATTTGAGGCTTTACACAGAAACTTTGGCGTATCGATGACTGTCACTGCTAGCTGGTGGGTGGAGTGAGTACTCAACACGCAAGTTTGCAGTATCACCACATGGGCCAGCGACAAGCTTTTTCTCTTTTACTGACAGAGAAGTGGTGGGCATTGTCCCCATCACAGAGGTATATCAGCAAGATATTGTTAATTTCCATATGCATCCAATAAATGATCATAAGGATCACTACCAGAATGAGAAGTCCCAATGTCTTCAACTTGTCTGAGACTGTTATTTGATGTTTGATGTAATATGTGTAAAGAACAGGAAAAACATGGTGTTTACTGAGATCCTATTCTTTTCATTGGCAAGAGCAACACAATTATCAACACGGCCATCTTGACGAGCCAGCCTGTGTCACTTCCTGTCATTGTCCTAGCAGTGGGCCTTGATGGCAAAGTATCAGGTGTTACCAAAGCGGTCAAGTGTCATTCAGCCAATGAAGATATTGTCAAGGTATAACGATTTCTGAGGAGGTCAGTTCTGATGCATGAAATATATCAATTCATCTGATGGCTCTTTTCTTGTCTGGCAGGTGTCTCATGATTGCTCTGTGCTTTTTGTGGATGGGAGTGAATCAGGAAGGGGCAGGATCTGTGTGGAGCTGGAGTTTTTTTGGGGAATGCACAGTGGCTCTTTGTGCTTGGCTGTGTGGGCTCCAATAGTTCCACTGCGTGTGTCTCTTTCTGACTCTGTCCTGAGTCCCATCAAAGGCTGGAGCTACTACAGTGAGAGCGGGTAGGCAATATTTGGTTACACTTAACAATAAGGCTCCATTAGTTAACGTTAGTTAATGCATTCCCTTGTGAAACCGAAGCGAATACTTTTAAAAAGAGTATTACGGAAATAATATACTTTTAAAAAAGACTATAATTAAGTACGAACTGAATATAATGTTTTTGGTCACTTAACTGCATGTTAATTGCAATTAAATGAAAATGGATTATAGTTTAAGTTTATATTAAATTTAATTAGTAATCCCACTTAAGTAGGACTTAAGTGCATATTTACATGTAATTTCATAATTACTTCTATTGCCTTTCACATATGGTTAAAATACTGACAAATGTACTGACAAGCATTTATGGTAAAGTCATTTCTATTAAAACTTGTGTCATGTATTTAAATATATTTGAAATGATGAAGTTGAAATTTAGTACATTTAAAATATACTAACTTCTAATAATCTCTCATAGTCATGAAAGTATACTCTCTTTAATACCTTTTAAGATTTGAAGTACATAGTTAGTTAATGTTAACTAATGTAGTTAACTAGTTATTCCTCTGCAGACTGTTCAAGTGACTGTGCAAGGTAATGGCTTTGATCATAAGGAAATTGAAATTTCTCTTTCTTAGGTGTGAACCAGTTTATCAGAGGTCCACTATACAGATTTTGGCACAATTCAGTGCCCAATCAGCAGCTCAAAGCCAACCAACCTACATGCTCGGATCACCGGATTGGTTTGTGGATGTGACTGAACTTGTCCGAGACTGGCTGAGGATAGAAAACCCGTATATTGCTGCTCTTGATAAACAAAAACATCTAATTGGCTTGAAGCCTGGAATTACATCATTATATGTTGGTATCTGAATTAAATATACCTAAAGGTTCACCCAAAAATGAAAGTTTGATGTAATTTATGTCAATCCAAACCTGTCTTCTGCGAAACTCAAAAGAAGTTATTTTTAAAAATGTCTCAGTTTTTGGCCATACAATTCAAGTAAAAGGGGTCCAACGTTGTTTATTGTTTGGACCTTCAAAATATCTTCTTTGGTGGTCTACAGAAGAAATAAAGTCCTACAGGACACAATATGAAGGTGATTAAATAACGACAGGATTTTAATTTGTTGGTGAACTATTCCTATAAATGTGGGCTTGTCTAGTCACCCACCCTCCCATTGCTTCACATATTTCTGTTTTTCAAGGTGATATCAAGTCAGTGGGATGGAGTGCTTGGAAGTGCTAATGTCACTGTATCCTCTGAACCAGTCACTCCTGGTGACCTCTCAGTTCAGTTGGTGGGAGGGCTTGGCCTGTCCATTAATTCCAGCCCATCTCATCCATCTATTGTCACAGCAACAGTGAATGCTCACAACACACTGTACAACCACGGGCAAGTAAGTATACGGTGTGCAAACATTTTAACACTAATCTACCAGCCTTGTTCTAGTACTCATTATTTCCACTCGTTTTTATTAGGAAGCATCCATCAGTGTTTGGATCCAGTTTGATGATGACACCACCATACCTGTCTATGCCTTTAGTGGGATTCCCTATATTCTCCGGCTCTCCTCTTTGGCTGAGTCTGTGGTTGCTGTGACACCTGCTCCATCCCAGCGCATTTTAGCACAAGGTGATGGCGGAGGGCCTCTTGTGAAAGCCGAACTTCTGGTTTCCACTTGTGAACCAACATTTAACCACGCCGAACCGGAAGTAATCCAAAAAGGAAGTGAAGCAAAAAGATTGTCTAAAGGCTCTGGCTGGATAAGGGTGAACTTGAACATGGACTTTTGGCCAATGGGAAGTGAGGAAACCAACTTTGAGATGCATGATGTGACTGATATGTTTGTTGACTCCAACAAGGATCTGTATGATAACTTTGAAGATCAGCAAAATATGATAAATTCCACAAGTGTCTATGATGTTGATAATGACTTGTTCAGAAGAAATGACTTGGAGCAGGCGGTTTTGATTCCCACCCATAAAGAGAGTGCCGTGTATTTATCTCCTGGGGTGGAAAAAGAGAGGAAAGAGGTTAAAACTGCTGATAGACAGGTAGAGATTGGCATTGGAGCTGTCCTTTCTCTTCTCTGTCTCTCTTCTCTCCTTTTCCTGGTCAACTGCCTGCCATGTGCACTGAGAGAACAGAGGCACAGAGAAAGTCGAGAGGGAAATGTAAAAGACACTGTGGAAGAAGACGAGGAAACTGGAGAAGAGCAAGAAGAGAAGGTAGAGGGAAAACAGTGTGAAGTGGTAACGGGATAGGACAGAGGGGAAAGGAAATGACTTTTTGACTTTCAGAATATCACACATTGCATATTACTTTGTGCATATCCTGGAAAAGTATAATTATATATCATGTAATTATACTAGGCTACATCAATGTGAGTTTTTAGGTGAGATGTGGGAGTATGTTAATGTAAATGATGTATTTTTTGTAATTGTTTGCTGTTATTTTAATCAGTACAAGAAAAGACAATGCATAGTAATATGAATAATCATGCATTAGATAAAACATATGAATACTACTGCACAATATTAATCTAACAAACTTTTTTATGATCTGAAATGATAACTTAAAATCACAAATACTTGAAGGATTTTTAGACTTTTTTTGTACACCACTCATATTAAATAAAGGTGAAAAAGGTTCAAATGTTCATGTTCTTTTCATAAAACAAGGAGCTGACAGTGTTCCGTCATACAGATCAAATTTCTAGGACTTTATTACCATAATAGAATTGATGTGATTCATTCCAATTATCATGGTAAGCAGAGTTCATTCAGTTTCAACTGGAAACGTCTTTGGACTATCTTGTCACTTGTTTTTGCGAATACAATGAACCACAATGGCAATCAAACCTAATAACTGCATAACGTAATCTTCAGCCTTAAAGGGGTCATATGATGCGATTTCAATTTTTCCTTTCTCTTTGGAGTGTTACAAGCTCTTGGTGCATAAAGAAGATCTGTAAAGTTGCAAA